TTAGGGTTAGGGTTAGGGCTAGAGTTAGGTTTGGAGTTAGGGTTAGGGTTAAGTTTGGGGTTAGGCCTAGGGTTAGTGTTAGGGTTAGGGTTAGGGTTAGGGCTAGGGCTAGGGTTAGGGTTAGGGTTAGGGTTTGGGCTAGGGTTAGATTTAGGGGTGGTGTTAGGGTTAGGGTTAATGCTGGGGCTAGGGCTTGGTTTAGGGTTAGGGTTAGGCTTAGGGTTAGGGTTGGGTTAGGGTTAGGGTTAGGGTTACGGCTAGGGCTAGGGTTAGGGTTAATGCTAGGGTTAGGGTTAGGGTTAGGGTTAGGGTTAGGGTTAGGGTTAGGGCTAGGTTTAGGGTTAGGGTTAGGGTTAGGGTTAGGGCTAGGGTTAGGGTTAGGGTTAGGGTTAGGGTTAGGGTTAGGGTTAGGGTTAGGGTTAGGGTTAGGGTTAGGGTAGGGTTAGGGGTAGGGTTAGGGTTAGGGTTAGGGTAGGGTTAGGGTTAGGGTTAGGGTTAGGGTTAGGGTTAGGGTTAGGGTTAGGGCTAGGGTTAGGGTTAGGGCTAGGGTTAGGGCTAGGGCTAGGGTTAGGGTTAGGGTTAGGGTTAGGGTTAGGGTTAGGGTTAGGGTTAGGGTTAGGGTTAGGGTTGGGTTGTTGTATTTTGGGGAGAGTCATAGGGTGTGGTTTTGTGTGCTCGTGGTTCTTTTCAGATCTTTTCTCCTGACCTTGTGCTTCTCTCTTCCCAAAGGTCACGTCGGGTCCTGTGGGCTCCCTATGTCTCTCGCTCTTGCCCTCCCGCTGTCTCCCAGCCCCCGCTGTCATTGTGGGGGGCGGAGGTGGGGGGCTCCCACAGAGGAACCCCGGCTGCCTGATCCAGGAAGACAGGAAGGAAGAGGAGACGTGGCCGCTCACACAGTCCCCGGAGCAGGGCGAAGGCAGGCTCGTGTTCGGCTCCTCCGAAGGCCGGTCCCTGGGGGCCAGAGCCACACAGACGCCCGAGGAAGACAACCACAGACTGACATCGCCGGGCACGGGTCTGCCGCTCCAGGCAGTTTAGCAAATTAAATCCGGCTCCGTATGGAGATCGCGGGCCGTGGGGTCACCGGGAACGCACAGCCGTTGACGGTCAAGGTCAATGCCGTTGCAGCGTCGCTGATGGAGAGACGAGCACACACCTTGTCCCGACAGATGCGAACTCAACACCGGCTCCGAGAGCTCAACCCCAGACCCCAGCAGACACGGACGGGGGGTGGGAGCCACCGGAGAGGCCCCTGGGGGGAAAGGAGACTTAGGTATAACTTTCAACAATAAAAAAATTAAAAAAAGATAAATAAAGATAAAAAAAAAACCCACAAATCAAAACCCAACAACAAAAACTCCCAAACAACACTCGTTCCTGCTGAGATCGCTCAGCGCGGTGGCGGGGACCAGCGGCCCGGGGTGCAGATTCCGCGCCCGCTGACGTAGTGCAGACGGATCCGGCCAGCCCCGCTGTCCGCCACCAGCACGCGTCTCCCCCGACAGCCGGGCGACCAGGAGGAGAGAGAGAGACGAAGACGCCAGGCGGTGTGGAGGCCACGGGGCCCCGCGCCAGCCCGACCCCCTCAGGCCTGCGGGGGCCGCGTGGAGGGGCTGGCAGCTCCCGGCGGGCAGTGCTGCGCCCGCCTGGTCCCTGACCCAGCTCCGCCTCACCGGACTGAGCCTGTCCGCCGTCTCTGGCGTCTAAGGAACACGCGTGTAAATGTCAGGTGCGTGCCCCACCTCCAGACCCACCGGGAGCCGAGCCTCTCCCGCGGTTTACTGTGGGAACTGTTGCCTGGTAACCTTCCTGCACCCACCTCTGCCAGAGAAGCATGCGTCTATCATTCCATCTCTTATCCAATCGCAGAGGTTTCCCACTGCTTTCTCCCGCCTCCCCTTCCCCCACACCTATCACCTGTGAGGTTGATGGAGCCCACCTGAGTGGCCCCTCTTTTTTAAACATATTTTATTGATTTTTTACAGAGAGGAAGGGAGAGGGATAGAGAATTAGAAACATCGATGAGAGCCAAAACAGGTTTGGCTCAGTGGATAGAGTATCAGCCTGCAGACTGAAAGGTCCCGGGTTCAATTCCGGTCAAGGGCATGTACCTTGGTTGCTGGCACATCCCCAGTAGGAGGTGTGCAGGAGGCAGCTGATCGATGTTTCTCTCTCGTCGATGTTTCAAACTCTCTATCCCTCTCCCTTCCTCTCCATAAAAAAATCAATAAAATATATTTTTTAAAAAAAGAAACATCGATGAGAGAGAAACATTAATTGATCAGCTGCCTCCTACACATCTCCTACAAGGTACATGCTCTTGACTGGAATCGAACCGGGGACCCTCCAGTCTGCAGGCTGACGCTCTATCCCCGGAGCCACACCGGTTAGCGAGAGGCCCCTCTCTCGATTGCAAAGTATAAACAAGGTGCAAACCCGCCGTCCCCAGAGCCTCAGCCCCGTCCGCTGGGATTCCGCCTCCCGGCGGCTGTGGGCCGTGTGGCAAAGATAAACGCACAATTCCCCACGGGTCTGGATGCTCTGACGCTCACAGCGTGAAGGACGGAGCAGAGCTGTCTGTGCGGGGACAGTGTTCTCTGCAGTCTGGGGGAGCAGGTGGGCTGACCAGAGAAGCCCACAGCGTCCATCCACAGAACCAGCTGAAGCAGGACCGTCAGGACTGGACACAGTCTGCTGTGCCCGGCCGGCGGGGCTCGGGGCCGAGCATCGCCCTGCGGACCAGGGGGTCAGGCTGGGTTCCCGTCAGGGCACACGCCCAGGTTGCGGGCTCCATCGCCGTAAGGAGCGTGCAGGAGGCAGCTGACCCCTGATTCTCTCATCGTTGCTGTTTCTACCTCTCCTGCTCCCTTCCTCTCTGAAATCAATAAAAATATGTTTTAAGAAATAAATAAAAAAAAGGACATTCCTTCACAGAAACATCTAGACAGCTGTCTGACCGGAGCGGGTGCCAGGCCTGGCCGAGGCGGCCGAGGAAGCGCACCCTCCCCGGTGAGGAGCCGGGGCCGGGCGGGGCAGCTCAGGGGCCCTCCTCCGCCCTCTCCCTCCGCCCGGGGCCGCCCCAGTCCCACTTCCTGATGAGTCAGGTTTGTGGACAGAGAGCTCAGAGCCGTCATCTTAGGCTGTTCCCTGGCGTCTTTGAGGCCTCCTCCCTGTGGTCAGTGTCCGGGCAAACACTGCCGGGCGTGGACCGGGCGTTGGGGGGAGTGCGGGCTCGGGCCTGGGCAGGTGGCCGGGCAGGTGTCCTGGGGCCCGAGGACATCACCTCCCGGTCCACAGGGAGCCCACCGGCAGCTTCCTCCTGTCCCTGAGGGGGACAGGACGGTCCCGGGGAGGGGGGCTTTGAGGGGTGCACAGCCCCCCGTCTGCACGTCAGCAGTGACAGAGCCCGTCTGAGGGCGCTGGGTCCGAGGCCCTGAATGGACGCGTCCGAGTGTGTTTCTGTCCCGATGTCTTGGGCTGCCCCCCTGCCCCCGTCTCACTGACCAGAGGGTCCCCTGGCCTGAGGAGCCCTCACCCCGCCTCCGCCCGCTCCGTCCACGTCCCACCCACCCCGGGGGCGGCCTGGTCCCCGCGCACGGCGGCCACACTGGCACCTGAGACGGGGCGGGGCCAGGAGGGGCGCTGGCAGACCCAGGGCTCAGGTCACCCGCTGCCCCGTCCAGAGGGGCCCCGCCTCCCCCTCCCAGGGCCGCCCGCTTCCAGGCGGGTCGAGAGGGGCCGCACGGGGCCCCGTCACCAGGGCCTCTCCATCCCCGCGGGCAGGGGCGCTGGCGTGGAAACCACTGTCTCCACCGGGACGTGGCTCTGGTCTGAACCCCGCCACGGGCTCCGAGCCCCTGCCCGGCCGGTCCCTGGCCTGCACTGGGCACGTGGGACGGGACGAGGGCTTCCCCAGGCCTGGGGCTCTCGGCTCCGGGTCACCCCCCAGACACCGGGGGGCTTGCCCTGGGGCAGGAGGTCCTGGTGCAGAGGCCGCTGCCTCCCCCCCACCGGGCGGCCCCCGAGCCTCAGCAACAGCGGCCGTGGACCGGCTCCGCTCACCCTGGGACCCGCGGACCCCAGGATGGGGGTGGCGTCCACCCCCGTGCCCGTCAGACGCCAGTCAGGGCCCATGCCTCCCAGGACAAGCGTGTGGGAGGGAGGCCTCTGGCCTGTCCCTCCAGCTGCGCGGCGGGTGCCCGGGCCCCCAGGGCGAGGGTGGGCTGGACCCTGGTCCTCAGGGCGTCTGCAGGGGGCTGTGGGCTGGCCACAGGTCACCTCTGTGGGCGAGAGGGCGGCCCAGGGGACCCGCATGGCCCTGTGCTCCCCTGGGGGTGGCGTGGGGGCGGGGGCAGCGCAGGGACTGAGCCCACGCCTGCACAGGGCGTTTCTGGGACCCCAACCCCACCCCCTGGAGGACGGCAGCTCCTGGCCAGGCCCCTGGGCCTCAAAGGCAGTGATTCCTGGGAGGCCCCTGGCAGGGCTCCCTGCATTCCAGTTCCATTAACTCCGAGGAGGGACCCCCTGGGACAGAGGGATTATAGGGGGGCTGGCGGGAGCAGAGGCCCCACGGTGGGCAGCACCCCAGGAGCCCACACCCTGGCTGCCCTGGGTGCTGGGTGCAGGGAGAGCTTGGGGCCTGGGGGGCGGCTGGACAGGGCCTGGAGGGGAGAGGGGTGGACTGGGTGGGTCTGTCTATTGGACCTGGGGCTGGGCAGGGGGATGGGGCCGGGAGCCTGCAGGACATGCTTCCGGCCGGACATCCCGGGAGGGGGTGCAGGGAGGGACCGAGGTCCGCAGGGCGTGTGCGGCTCCCGGTAATTGGGGAGGAGGGAGATTACCCAGGGAGACAAATAAATAAAAAGATAAATCTGCGATAACTGAGTCAACATCTCCTCACGCAGCCCCGGAGCCCCCACAGCTGTCCCTCCGTCCCTGGGCAAACGCCCCACCCGCCTCGCCCTCCCTGCCCGCCCCGCCTCTGAGGGCCCCTGGGCCATATAAGGCCCGGCCCCCAGCCCAGGTCGCTCTCCCACACTGCCTGCCGCCACCATGGGGCAGCCGCTCGCCTGCCTGCTGGGCCTGTGCCTGGCCCTGGCCACGGCCGGGGGCTCGGAGCTGCGGAGAGGTGAGGGGTGGCAGGGCATCCCGGCCAGAGAGGCGCCTGGAGTGGAAGGGGTCTCCGCCCAGACTTCGGGGGCCGGCCTGTGGGCGCCCCGCAGCTCTGCCCCCTGGCATTGGGTAGAAGGAAAGAGGGAGGAAGGAGGGACAGAAGGACAGGTGGTTTGGGGTCCCACTGCCCCTCCGAAGGTGACCCCTGGCCAGGGTGTGTTGGGGCGGGGCCGGGTGGCAATAGCCCAGCCTGTCTGTGAGCCTGGGGGCGGCCCGGGGGCCCAGCTGGGGGCCAGGCCCAGGCTTCGGGGCTCTCAGGGGCCAGGTCGGGGTCACTGGGCCTGGAAACCCGGGCAGCTGGGACGGGACATCCCTGTCCCCAGGCGGGGAGGGGCCACTGAGGGTCCGGGGAGGGGAGGGCCCGCTGAGGGTCTGGGGAGGGCCCGCTGAGGGTCCGGGGAGGGGAGGAGAGGGGCCGCTGAGGGTCCGGGGAGGGGAGGAGAGGGCCCGCTGAGGGTCCAGGGAGGGGAGGGGAGGCCCTGCTGAGGGTCCGGGGAGGGGAGGGGAGGCCCTGCTGAGGGTCCGGGAGGGGAGAGAGGGCCCGCTGAGGGTTCGGGGAGGGCCCCGCTGAGGGTCCGGGGAGGGGAGGCCCCGCTGAGGGTCTGGGGAGGGGAGGCCCCGCTGAGGCCCGGGTCCCGGGGAGGGCCCCGCTGAGGGTCTGGGAGGGAGGCCCCCGCTGAGGTCTGGGGGAGGGGAGGGCCCCGCTGAGGGTTCGGGAGGGCCCCGCTGAGGTCCGGGGAGGGGAGGCCCCGCTGAGGGTCTGGGGAGGGGAGGGCCCGCTGAGGGTTCGGGGAGGGCCCCGCTGAGGGTCCCGGGGAGGGGAGGGCCCCGCTGAGGGTCTGTGGAGCGGAGGCCCGCTGAGGGGTCTGGGAGGAGGCCCCGCTGAGGGTTCGGGGAGGGCCCCGCTGAGGGTCGGGGAGGGGGAGGCCCGCTGAGGGTCTGGGAGGGGAGGCCCCGCTGAGGGTCTGGGGAGGGGAGGCCCCGCTGAGGGTCTGGGGAGGGGAGTCCCGCTGAGGGTTCGGGAGGGCCCGTCTGAGGGTCTGGAGGGGAGGCCCCGCTGAGGTCTGGGAGGGAGGCCCCGCTGAGGGTTCGGGGGAGGGCCCGCTGAGGCCCGGGTCCGGGGAGGGGAGGCCCCGCTGAGGGTTCGGGGAGGGCCCGCTGAGGCCCGGGTCCGGGGAGGGGAGGCCCCGCTGAGGGTCTGGGGAGGGGAGGCCCCGCTGAGGCCCGGGTCCAGGGAGGGCTGCCCGGGACGGGTCCGGCCGCTCACCCGCCCGCCGCCCGCAGAGAGCAGAGCCCGGAACCACGGCCACAACGTCTGCAGCACCTGGGGCGACTTCCACTACAAGACCTTCGACGGCGACGTGTTCCGCTTCCCCGGCCGCTGCGACTACAACCTGGCCTCCGACTGCCGCGACGCCTACCGGGAGTTCGCGGTGCACCTGCGGCGCGGCCCGGCCGGCGTGGAGCACGTGCTGCTGAGCGTCAAGGACGACACCGTCTACCTCACCCGCCGGCTGGTGGTGGTGAACGGGGCCATGTGAGTGCCGGGAGGGGGCTGCGGGGCCGGGGTTCAGGCCACGGATTCACTCACAAACCAGAGGAGGCCCAGGCGCCCCGGCCCGCGGACGGGAACCGGGACCGGCTTTATCGGTCCGGCGGCTCAGGGCCCTCTGCCCGGCACCCGCTGGGCTGGCGGACAGCGGGCATCCGGGCGGGAGTTTCAGAGGCAGGAGGCCAGGGAGCCCCTCCCCGGCCGCTACTGCCCCACCGTGACTGCCCGAGGGCTCCCCTGCAGGGGCCGGCCGGGCTGGGCTGGGGGTGGCTGCAGGGCTCCAGAGGCCCAGAGTTTGGGGGCTCAGTGCCAGTTTGGGGGGGCAGGGGCAGGAGAGAGCCTGCTCTCCTCCCTCCTTCCTCCTGGGCGCCTGGGGGCTGCCAGCACAGGAGAGGGCGCGGGAGCCGGGCAGGCGGGGGAGGCTCCCACAGGGGGGCTGGCCCCTCTGGCGGGGGGCGGGGAGGAGGAGGAGGCTGAGCGATGCCCCCGCCCCCCCGCAGGGTCAGCACCCCCCACTACCGCTCGGGGCTGCTCATCGAGAAGAATGACGCCTACACCAAGGTCTTCTCCCGCGCCGGCCTCACCCTCATGTGGAACCGCGAGGACGCACTCATGGTGGGTGGGGGCGGGGGGCACAGAGCCCACTGGGCGGGGGCCCTCCCTGATGCCAGGACCCCCTCCCCGCTGACCCGGCCCTTCTGCTGAGCTGACGCCCAACCACACGAGGGCGGGAGGGGCCTGGCTGAGGGGCTCCCGCTGCCCTGCCTGGGCCCGGCTGCCAGGGCGCTCACCGCCCCCTCCCCGCAGCTGGAGCTGGACAGCAGGTTCCGGAACCACACGTGTGGGCTCTGCGGCGACTACAACGGCCTGCAGACCTACTCGGAGTTCCTGTCGGACGGTGCGGCTCCGGGGCCTGGCAGGCGGGGGGTGTGCATGCGTGTGTGTGTGCGTGTGCATGCATGCCTGCGTGTGTGTGTGTGTGTGTGTGCGCGTACGTGTGTGTGTGTGCATGCGTGTGTGTGGGTGCTGGCTCCTGGCGCCCCTGACGGGCTGTCCACCCCCAGGCGTGCTCTTCAGTGCCCTGGAGTTCGGGAACATGCAGAAGATCAACAAGCCGGGGGAGACGTGCGACGACCCCGAGGAGGAGTCGGCCCCCCAGTCCTGCTCTGAGCATGTGAGTCGGGGGACCCCGGCCCAGGACCCCCAGGGCGGGCGCTGCTCCTCCCCCACCCCGCCCCGCCGGGAGCCGGGAGGGAGGTGGGAGCAGCCGGCTCGCGCCCACACCGCCCGCCCGCCCGCAGCGCGCCGAGTGCCAGCGGCTGCTGACGGCCGAGGCCTTCGAGGGCTGCCTGGACCTGCTGCCGCTGGAGCCCTACGTGGCCGCCTGCGCCCGGGACCGCTGCCGCTGCCCGGCCGGCGCCGCCTGCGAGTGCAGCACGCTGGCCGAGTTCTCCCGCCAGTGCTCGCACGCCGGCGGGCAGCCCTGGAACTGGAGGACCCCCGCGCTCTGCCGTAAGCGCCGGCCGGGAGGAGGCAGGGCCGGCGAGGGCGGCGGCCGGAGGGGAGGGAGGGAGGGAGGGAGGCCTGGGCCGGGCTGCAGCCTCTCTGCCTCTGCAGCCAAGACGTGCCCCGGGAACATGGTGTACCTGGAGAGCGGCTCGCCCTGCATGGACACCTGCTCCCACCTGGAGGTCAGCCACCTGTGCGAGGAGCACCGCATGGACGGCTGCTTCTGCCCCGAAGGTGCGCACGGCGGGGCCGGGCGGGGCACGGAGTCTTGGGGGTGAAGTCAGGGGACTGGTCCGGGCAGAGGGGACACGGCACTGAGGCCCCTCCCCTGCCTATGCCGTGGTGGCTGCTAGGAGTCCGGGGGGAGGGCACCCTCCTGGTGGCACTCAGTGGGCAGACCTCCTGCCAGGCCCGTGGGACTTAGAGGGCACTGCAGGGGCGGGGGCGGGGGCCAGCGGTGTGGGACCAGGGTGGGGGGTCAGTGGTGTGGGGTCAGTGGTGTGGGGTCAGTGGTGTGGGGGTCAGTGGTGTGGGGGTCAGTGGTGGGGTCAGCGGTGTGGGGGTCAGCGGTGTGGGGGTCAGTGGTGTGGGGGTCAGTGGTGTGGGGGTCAGTGGTGTGGGGTCAGTGGTGTGGGGTCAGTGGTGTGGGGGTCAGTGGTGGGGTCAGTGGTGTGGGGTCAGCGGTGTGGGGGTCAGTGGTGTGGGGGTCAGTGGTGGGGTCAGTGGTGTGGGGTCAGCGGTGTGGGGGTCAGTGGTGTGGGGGTCAGTGGGGGGTCAGTGGTGTGGGGGTCAGTGGTGGGGTCAGTGGTGTGGGGGTCGGTGGGGGGGGCAGGGGTGTGGGGTCAGCGGTGTGGGGGTCAGTGGTGTGGGGGTCAGTGGTGGGGTCAGTGGTGTGGGGTCAGTGGTGGGGTCAGCGGTGTGGGGTCAGTGGTGTGGGGGTCAGTGGTGGGGTCAGCGGTGTGGGGTCAGCGGTGGGGGGGTCAGTGGTGTGGGGGTCAGTGGTGTGGGGGTCAGTGGTGGGGTCAGTGGTGTGGGGGTCAGTGGTGGGGTCAGTGGTGTGGGGTCAGTGGTGGGGTCAGTGGTGTGGGGTCAGCGGTGTGGGGGTCAGTGGTGTGGGGGTCAGTGGTGTGGGGGTCAGTGGTGGGGTCAGTGGTGTGGGGTCAGTGGTGGGGTCAGTGGTGTGGGGTCAGCGGTGTGGGGGCCAGTGGTGTGGGGTCAGTGGTGTGGGGTCAGTGGTGTGGGGGTCAGTGGTGTGGGGGCCAGTGGTGTGGGGGTCAGTGGTGGGGTCAGTGGTGTGGGGTCAGTGGTGTGGGGTCAGTGGTGGGGGTCAGTGGTGTGGGGGTCAGTGGTGGGGTCAGCGGTGTGGGGTCAGTGGTGTGGGGGGTCAGCGGTGTGGGGGTCAGTGTGGGGAAGTGGTGTGGTGGGGGTAAGTGGTGTGGGGGTCAGTGGTGTGGGGTCAGTGGTGTGGGGGTCAGCGGTGTGGGGGTCAGTGGTGGGGCCAGTGGTGGGGCCAGTGGTGTGGGGGTCAGTGGTGTGGGGCCAGCGGTGCGGCAGGGGGAGGCCTGGCTGGCGGGCAGGGGACCAGCTGAGGGTGACGGCCGCCCCTGTCCCAGGCACCGTGTACGATGACATCAACGGCAGCGGCTGCGTCCCTGTGAGCCAGTGCCACTGCAAGCTGCACGGGCGGGTGTACGCCCCCGGCCAGCAGGTCCGCCAGGACTGCGAGCACTGGTGAGTGCGGGCGGCGGGCCGGCGGGCGGTGGGGGCCGGGGGCCGGGCCGGCGGGCGGTGGGGGCCGGGCGGTGGGGCGGGCCTGGACATGCCGAGCCTGACTGTGCCCTGCCCGCAGCATGTGCACCGCCGGCCGCTGGGTGTGCAAAGACCTGCCATGCCCCCGCACCTGCGCCCTGGAGGGCGGCTCCCACATCACCTCCTTCGACGGCAAGAAGTTCACCTTCCACGGCGACTGCTACTACCTGCTGACCAAGGTGGGCGGCGCCCGGCGGGCGCCTGGGGGGCCGAGCCCGGGCCAGGCCTCACCACGCACCCCCGTCCTCCGCAGGGCGAGCACCCCGACGCCTACGCCCTCCTGGGCGAGCTGGCCCCCTGCGGGGCCACCGACAAGCAGACCTGCCTGAAGACAGTGGTGCTGCTGGCGGACAAGCAGAAGAACGTGGGTGCCCTCCCTCCCGTCCTCCCCCGCCCCCCCCCCGGCCCCGGGCCCTCCTACCGGCGCCCGCTCTGCCGCAGGCGGTGGGTGACGTGGGTGCCCCTTCCTGCTCTGCCAGGCGGTGGGTGACGTGGGTGCCCTCCCCCCGCTCTGCCCAGGCGGTGGGTGACGTGGGTGCCCTCCCCCCACTCTGCCCAGGCGGTGGGTGACCTGGGTGCCCTCCCCCCGCTCTGCCCAGGCGGTGGGTGACGTGGGTGCCCCTTCCCGCTCTGCCCAGGCGGTGGGTGACGTGGGTGCCCTCCCCCCGCTCTGCCCAGGCGGTGGGTGACGTGGGTGCCCTCCCCCCGCTCTGCCCAGGCGGTGGGTGACCTGGGTGCCCTCCCCCCGCTCTGCCCAGGCGGTGGGTGACCTGGGTGCCCTCCCCCCGCTCTGCCCAGGCGGTGGGTGACGTGGGTGCCCCTTCCCGCTCTGCCCAGGCAGTGGGTGACGTGGGTGCCCCTTCCCGCTCTGCCCAGGCGGTGGGTGACATGGGTGCCCCTTCCCGCTCTGCCCCAGGCAGTGGGTGACCTGGGTGCCCTCCCCCCCGCTCTGCCCAGGCGGTGGGTGACGTGGGTGCCCCTTCCCATTCTGCCCCAGGTGGTGGTCTTCAAGGCGGACGGCAGCGTGCTGCTCAACGAGCTGCGGGTGAACCTGCCCCACGTGACCGGTGAGCGCCTGGCGGCGGCGGGGGGGCCGTGGGTGTGGGGGCGCGGGGAGGGGCGCAGAGGGTGGGATGGCAGGCCCCTCACGCGCTCCCCTCCCCCCCCCCCCTGCAGCCAGCTTCTCCATCTTCCAACCGTCCTCCTCCCACCTGGCGGTGAGCACGGCCTTCGGCCTGAGGCTGCAGATCCAGCTGCTGCCCGTCATGCAGCTGTTCCTGACGCTGGACCAGGCCGCTCAGGGCCGCGTGCAGGGTGAGTGCCCTCTGCTCTCCTGACCCCTGCCCTCTGCCCCTGACCCCTGCCCTCTGCCCCTGATCCCTGTCCTCTGCCCCTGACCCCTGCCCTCTGCCCCTGACCCCTGTCCTCTGCCCCTGCCCCCTGCCCTCTGCCCCTGACCCCTGCCCTCTGGCCCCTGATCCCTATCCCCCCTCTTTCCCGGTGCCCCTCCCCCTGCCCCCTGCCCTGCCAACCCTGTGGGTCCCCAGGCCTCTGCGGGAACTTCAACGGCCAGGAGGGGGACGACTTCCTGACCGCGGGCGGGCTGGTGGAGGCCACGGCTGCCGGCTTCGCCAACACCTGGAAGGCCCAGCCCAGCTGCCAGGACAAGCAGGACTGGCTGGACGACCCCTGTTCCCTCAACATCGAGAGCGGTGAGCGCCCCCAATTCCCACCAGCTGCGGCTCCGGCGGACACTGGGGGACGGGGCTGCCGTTGCCGGCTGCTTGCTGCCGCAGCCGGTTCACCGTGGCCCAGGGCGGCCGCTGCCGAGCGCAGGCGGGGGGCTGGGCCGCTGATGCCGGGCGGTGGCCTTCACCGGGGCTGGCCTGTGCCGGGACGCCCGCCGCCCCCTCCGTGCCGCCCCCTCCTCCGCCGGGAGGGGCGGGCACCCTGCCTGGGTCCGGGCTGGCCTGGCCGGGAGGGAGGGGACAGCGTCCACGCCAGCTTGGGGGGCGGGTGGGCCGGACGCAGGGCACCTGCTGCAGGCCACGCCCACTGAGCCCGCCCCTCTCTAGCCAACTACGCCGAGCACTGGTGCTCCCTGCTCAGGAAGGCGGAGACCCCCTTCGGCAGGTGCCACGCCGCCCTGGACCCCACCGAGTACTACAAGGTGGGTGGCCCCACCCCTGCCCCAGCCGGAGCTGGAGGCTGTCTGAAACCTGCTGAATGCGGGTGCATGTGTGTAATGCATGCGCGAGCACACACGTGTACATACGTGGTGCAGATGTCAGCGTGTGCACGCGTGGTGTATGTGTGAATGTGGGTACACGCGGGCATGTGCAGGCGTGCAGCACGTGTGGGTGTGTAGACGTGTGTGCACGTGCAGGCGCATGCGTGCAGCGCGTGGGAGTCAGTGCACACGTGTGTGAGTGCCCTGGGAGCCGGGGTGCGGGCACAGGCGTGCCAGGTCCCAGCCCCTCCTCCCCGCAGAGGTGCAAGTACGACACGTGCAACTGCCAGGACAACGAGGACTGCCTGTGCGCCGCGCTGTCCTCCTACGCCCGCGCCTGCGCCGCCAAGGGCGTCATGCTGTGGGGCTGGCGCGAGCTCGTCTGCAGTGAGTGCCGCCCGCCGGCGTCCGGGGCTGGCGTCCGGAGTGCGGGGTGCAGGCCTGGCAGGGCCTCCTGAGTGCGGGGCGGGGCGGGCGTGCTTGTGTGGCTGGGCCTGTGCCAGGCCGGTCCTCCTGGGCCCTCGGCGGGCGGGGGACAGCGGGGTGGGGGAGCCCGGGGCGGGGCGCTCCTCCCTCACCAGGCCCTCGCTCCGCAGACAAGGACGTGGGCTCCTGCCCCAAGTCGCAGGTCTTCCTGTACAACCTGACCGCCTGCCAGCCCACCTGCCGCTCGCTGTCCGAGCCCGAGGGCCACTGCGCCAAGGGCTTCGCGCCGGTGGACGGCTGCGGCTGCCCCGACCACTCCTTCCTGGACGAGAAGGGCCGCTGCGTGCCGCTGGCCAAGTGCTCCTGCTACCACCGCGGCAGCTACGTGGAGGCGGGCGACGTGGTCGTGCGGCAGGAGGAGCGCTGGTGGGTGTGGGCCGGGGCGGGCGGGCGGGCGGGAGGCGGGGCCCCCGGGGCCCCCACCCGCCGGGCGGCTCGCTCAGCCCCGCCTCTGCCCGCAGCGTCTGCCGGAACGGGAGGCTGCACTGCACCCAGGTCAAGCTGCTCGGCCAGAGTAAGTGGGCGCCGCCCCTGCGCGGCCTCTGCCCTCTGCCCTCTGCCCCCTGCGCCCGCCCCCGCCTGCCCCTCCCCGCCCTTCCCGCCCGCCCCCTGCAGCTGACCCAAGGTGGCCCCTCCGCCCCACAGGCTGCGCGGCCCCCAAGATCCACGTTGACTGTAACAACCTGACGGCGCTGGCCATCCGGAACCCCCGCCCCGTCAGCTGCCAGACGCTGGCAGCCGGCCAAGTGCGTGCGGGCAGGGCCTGGGGGGGAGAGGGAGGGGCAGCGGGCCCCAAGGCTCTGGATGCCAGCCTGAGACACGGGGCCCCTCTCAGCCCCCTCCTCGGGGTCCCTGCCCAGAGGGGGGCGGGGAGGGAGGTCGGGTGGACGGGGGAACGAGGTGCCGCAGTGGCAGGCGCGCAGCCGAGGACCCGGTCTGACCCCCCGTCTGCCCGCAGTACCAGGCGGAGTGCGTCAGCGGCTGCGTGTGCCCCGAGGGGCTGATGGACGACGGCCGGGGGGGCTGCGTGGAGGAGGAGGAGTGCCCCTGCATGCACAACCAGGAGCTGTACGCGCCCGGCGACCATATCGCAGTGGACTGCAACACCTGGTGAGCCGCGGCCTGCCTGGCCGACCGCCCCGCCCCCAGGGGAGTGCCCGGGGGGTCCTGGCCCAGTGAGGGTGCGTCTGGCACAGCCGCTGGGCGTGGCCGGCCCCTCAGGCCCCCGTCCCGCTCTCCGCAGCACCTGCCGCCACGGCCGCTGGGCCTGCAGCCAGCGGGTGTGCTACCGCACCTGCACCGTCTACGGCAGCGGCCACTACATCACCTTCGACGGGAAGTTCTACGACTTCGACGGGCACTGCTCCTACGTGGCCGTCCAGGTGTGGACCCCCGCTCCCTGTCCCTCTGCCCCCCCCCCCCCCGCCCTCCCATCCCGTCCCCCCGCCCTCCCGTCCGGTCCCCGCCCTCCCATCCCGTCCCCGCCCTCCCGTCCGGTCCCCGCCCTCCCATCCCCCCCCCCGCCCTCCCATCCCGTCCCCGCCCTCCCGTCCCGTCCCCGACCGTCCATCCCGGCCCCCCATGCGGGCGCGGCTGCTGGCCCGGGGCTGTGTCCACCGGCACAGGCCCTCCCTCCGCCCTCCCAGCCTGTGACCCCCTGGGCCCCGGGGGGTGGGGGCCAGGGGAACGAGGGGCCTCGTGCGGCACGGCTGCCCCCTCCACGGCGGGGCGGAGGCTGGCAGGTGGGGTGCTGGCGCGGGCGCTAGCTCACGCGCTCTGTGGCCCCAGGACTACTGCGGCCAGAGCTCCGGGCAGGGCTCCTTCAGCATCATCACCGAGAACGTGCCCTGTGGCACCACCGGCGTCACCTGCTCCAAGGCCATCAAGATCTTCCTGGGGGTGAGCGCCACCCCGGGGCGGGTCAGCTGGAGCTGGGGCCCACAGGGACCCCTGGGACCTGCTGGGACCTGCTATGACCCCCTGAGACCCGCTGTGACCCGCTGGGACCCTCTGGGACCCGCTGGGACCCGCTGGGACCCGCTATGATCCCCTGGGGACCCTGGGATCCACTGGGACCCCCTGGGACCCCCTGGGACCCCCTGGGACCCCTGGGATCTGCTGTGACCCCCTTTGACCCGCTGTGACCCGCTGTGACCCCCTGGGACCCACTGTGACCCCTGGGACCCGCTGTGAACCCCTGTGACCCGCTGTGTCCCCCAGGGACCCGCTGGGACCCCCTGGGACCCCCCCTGGGACCCCCTGGGACCCCCTGGGACCCCCTGGGACCCGCTGGGACCCCTGGGATTGCTGTGACCCCCTTTGACCCGCTGTGACCCGCTGTGACCCCCTGGGACCCACTGTGACCCCCTGGGACCCGCTATGATCCCCTGGGGACCCTGGGACCCACTGGGACCCCCTGGAACCCCTGGGACCTGCTGGGACCCCCTGGGACCCCCTGGGACCCCCTGGGACCCGCTGGGACCCCCTGTGGCCCCCTGGGACCCACTGTGACCCGCTATGATCCCCTGGGGACCCTGGGACCCCCTGGGACCCCCTGGGACCCGCTGGGACCCCTGGGACCCGCTGTGAACCCCTGTGACCCGCTGTGTCCCCCTGGGACCCGCTGGGACCCCTGGGACCCCCTGGGACCCGCTGTGACCCCCTGGGACCCGCTGGGACCCGCTATGATCCCCTGGGGACCCTGGGACCCCTGGGACCCCCTGGGACCCGATGGGACCCCCCTGGGGCCCCCTGGGACCCGCTGGGACCCCTGGGACCCACTGGGACCCCTGGGACCCGCTGTGACCCCCGTGACCCCGTCCCCCCAGAGGACGGAGCTGAAGCTGGAGGACAAGCAGCAGACGGTGATCCACCGGGACGAGGGCCAGCACGTGGCCTACACCACGCGGCAGGTGGGCCAGTACCTGGTGGTGGAGACCAGCGTGGGCATCATCGTCATCTGGGACAAGAAGACCACCATCTTCATCAAGCTGGCGCCTACCTACAAGGTGCGCTCCGCCCGCCCCCGCCTGCCCGCCTCGCCCCTCCCCCTCCCCCTCCTCCTCCCTCCCTCCCCGCCCTCCCCCTCCCCTCCCCCTGCCCTCTCCCTCCCCGCCTCTCCCCTCCCCTCCCACCGGGCCCCTCTGGACGCCTCGCGCCGGTCTCCCAGGGTTCCGTGTGCGGCCTGTGCGGGAACTTCGACGAGCGCTCCAGCAACGACTTCACGACGCGGGACCACATGGTGGTGGACAGCGCGCTGGACTTCGGGAACAGCTGGAAGGAGGCCCCCACCTGCCCCGACGTGACCTCCACCCCCGACCCCTGCAGCCTGAAGCCGCACCGCCGCTCCTGGGCCGAGAAGCAGTGCAGCATCATCAAGGACGACGTCTTCAAGATCTGCCACAGCAAGGTGGGCGTGGCCGGCGCGGTGGGCGTGGCCCAGGCGGGTGGGCGTGGCCGCGAGCACGGCTGGGGCGGGCCAGGCAGCGTTCCCCAGCTCTGTGCTCGCTGGGGGCGTCCCCTGGGGTCCCCGGAGTCCCCTGTCCTGCACCTTCATCTCCAGCCTGCGTCCTCTGGGCGCGTGGCCGATGTTAACTTCCTCTGAGCCCCTGGCTGGACCCAGCTCCTGCACCTTCAGGGAGGGAGAAGGACACCTGACCCCCCATCCTCCGGGCTCATCCGGGCAGCGGCGGGGCTGGGGGGCAGCGGGGGCCACGGGCTCTGGGCTGGAGCGAGGGAGCCCGGCTGGGGTGCGCCTTGTCCCAGGAGCGGGGCTGGCGTGGGGGGCTGCGGAGGCCCGGGAGGCCCGGGAGGCTGGGGACTCAGCGCGGCCGCTTCCCCGCAGGTGGACCCCAAGCCCTTCTACGAGGCCTGCGTGCGCGACAGCTGCTCCTGCGACACCGGCGGCGACTGCGAGTGCTTCTGCTCCGCCGTGGCCGCCTACGCCCAGGAGTGCACCAAGGAGGGCGCCTGCGTGTTCTGGAGGACGCCGGACCTGTGCCGTGAGTGCCGCCCAGGGCCCCCGGCCTGAGCCTGCCCCCGGGACCCCCCCGCCTGAGCGCCCCTCCCCGGCCTGAGCGCCCCCCCTGCCCCGGCCTGAGCGCCCCCAGGGCCCCCCCCCCCCGCCTGAGCGCCCCGCCCCCCCCTCCCGGTCTGAGCGTCCCCCCAGGGCCCCCCCCCCGCCCTGAGTCTCCCCCAGGCCCCCCCCCCCGGCCTGAGCCTGCCCCCGGGGTGCCCCCCCCCGCCTGAGCGCCCCCCCACCCGGCCCTGAGCGCCCCCCCTGCCCCGGCCTGAGCGCCCCCAGGGCCCCCCCCCCGCCCTGAGTCTCCCCCAGGCCCCCCCCCCCCGGCCTGAGTCTCCCCCCAGGAACCTCCCCCCCAGCCCCCCTGCCTGAGCGCCCCCCAGTCTGACCCCCCTCCCGGCCTGAGCGCCCCCCAGTCTGACCCCCTCCCCCCAGCCATCTTCTGCGACTACTACAACCCCACGGACAAGTGTGAGTGGCACTACGAGCCGTGCGGGAACCGCAGCTTCGAGACCTGCAGGACCGTCCAGGGCATCCACTCCAACGTCTCCGTGTCCCACCTGGAGGGTGAGCCTCCTCATCGGCCCGGGGTGGGGGAGGCTTGGAGCCGAGCCCAGGGGGTGGCGGCAGGAAAGAAACAGGCCCCCCGACCTGTAAGGCCAGGACCGGAAGTGCCGAGGGGCCGGCAGGGCGGGATGGGGGCGTTTCTGAGGATGGCTGGGGGGCCATTGTGTTGAGAACTAGCGGACATGAAGGAGTGAGAACGGCCAAGTCCGGGTCCGAGGGGTGCAGGAAGTGGGCGGGGCCTGGCTGTCCCTGCAGCCCCTTGGCGGTGCTCCCGGTGCTCCCGGCTCAGCTGGGCGGGGTCTGGCCCGGGTCTGGCCTGCCTTCCCAGAGGAACGTCCCAGAGAGAAGGACCTGCGGGGCAATGGGCGGGGCGAAGGGCGGGCCTGACCACCGTGGTCCCAGCCCAGTGCCCTGTGCCCACCAGGCTGCTACCCGCGGTGCCCTGTGGACCGGCCCATCTACGACGAGGATCAGAAGAAGTGCGTCAAGGGAGACCAGTGCGGCTGCTACGTGGAGGACACCCACTACCCACCCGGAGCATCCTTGCCGCCCAAGCACGACTGCCAGTCCTGGTACCTAAGCTCACATCATAGGGGCCCTGGGGGAGTGGGCACACACGCGGGCACCGTGCACATGCCTGCACACGCCTGCACATGCCTGCACACGCCTGCATGTGGGAGCCAGGGCACAAGGCTCCCTTCTCATCCTGGGCTCTCAGGGCGGCCTTTGCCTGCCTCGCCGCCCCCCTGCCGCCCCCTGGAAGAGCCCTGCCCGGGCGGGCGGGTCCCTGCAGGTGGGCGGGCCCGGGGCGGCACTGGGCCAGGCAGCCGGGCTCCCGGACTGCAGCCTGCACTTGCCTTGCAGCGTGTGTGGCAACAACTCGCAAGTCGTCTGCCGGCCGGAGGAAGGTGAGCCCGTCCCCGGACGCCTGGCCGGGGGGCGGGGGCGGGGGCGGGGGCGGGGGCTCTCCTCCGGGGCCCTGCAGCCTCCCTGGGGGCTCCCACCCACTGCGCCTCTCCGGTGGGGAGCCTGGGGTGCGGCTGCTGTTCTGGGGGCCTTAGGGTTCTGGGTGGGGTTCCTGTGGGGTCACTGGCTCACGGCTGGCAGGAGCTGGGGCCCCTGCCTCTCCCTCTCTCCCTGACGCCGCCCTCTGCCCCCAGGGAAGATCCTCAACTTCACCCAGGACGGCTCCTTCTGCTACTGGGAGGTCTGCGGCCCCAATGGGACGGTGGAGAGGCACTTCAACATCTGTGTGTCCACCACGACGCCCACCTCCTCCTCCACCCCCACCACCACCCCCGTCACCACCACCCCCACCCCCACCCCCACCACGACGCCCACCACCACGACGCCCAGCACAGGTGAGCCCGCCCCCAGGCAGCAGGAAGGCCCTTCTGGGGCAGCAGGAGGCCGGGTGCCCAGGCCGCAGGCACTGCCTCTCGGCTCCGGGACTGGGCGTCCCCGGGGCCCAGCTGCCCGCACCCGAGCCAGGACGGCACCCGGCCCGGCCCTCCGCGGAGGCCCTGGCGCCTTCCGGCCCGGCCAGCCAGCGGCCCCGCGGCTGGGGGAGCAGAGGCGGCCCTCCGAGGCCGCGGGGGGCCGGCGGGAGGGGCGTGGCAGACGCGGGAGAGACGCCGTGGGAGGGAGGCGGCGTGTGGGTGTCCAGCGGTGCAGTGACCTGTCTTCTTTCCGTCCCCGCAGTGTCAAAGCCCTCCACGACTCCGAGTAAGTGTGTGGGCGCCGTGCCCGGGGGGGCCGGGTGGGCGGGGAGCAGCCGCCCAAGCCCAGGCCGAACGGCCCCTTTCTCCCCCCCCCCCCCGCCCCCGCCACCTGCTCAGGGGCCACAGAGGGTCTGGGCACTCGGGAAGCCTCGGCCAGGGCGGGGTGACCTGTTGGTCAGGAGTGGAGACCAGGCTCCTTCCACCGGCTTCCTCCCTGGAATGGGTGCCCCCCCCGTGTTAATCCTCAGCTGAGGATCTATTTCCCTTTGCTTTTCAAAGAGAGAGGGAGGGAGGGAGGGAGGAACAGGGAGACGTCCATGTGAAACAGACACACCCATCGGTTGCCTCCCGCACACGAATATGCAACCGGGGGAGGGAGTGAGTGGGGTACCAGCCCTTACAGGAGTGGGCCCGTGCGCTAACCATTGCCCCCCCGCCAGGGCCGTTTCCTACCTTTTTGGCACGAGGCTTTGGCCACAGCTGACCAAGGGCCGCGGTGGGACTCTGGCCCGCGGGCCCCTCGCTGGGCCTCGGTGCTCAGCTGCAGGGGGGTGGGGTGGCGTCCAGACCTCCAGCCTGGGCCTCTCGGGGCAGGCACCGCCAGCCGGGGCCACTGAGCTTCCCGGGCCGCCCGGGCACAGTGACCGAGGCCGGGCCTTGCTCCCCAGGCCTGTGCTGCTTCTGGTCCGACTGGATCAACCGGGACCACCCCGGCCCCGGCCCCGACAGCGGCGACACGGAGACCTTCCTCCACGTGTGCCCGGCGCCCGAGGACATCCAGTGCCGCGCGGCGGTGGAGCCGCACCTCAGCTGGGAGGAGCTGGGCCAGAAGGCCCGCTGCAGCCTCTCCGAGGGCTTCGTCTGCAAAAACGAGGACCAGTTTGAAAACAGCCTGTTCCCCATGTGCTACGACTATGAGATCCGCGTCAACTGTTGTCTGCCCTGCTCCTCGACCCCCACCCCCACCCCCACACCGACCTCTACCACCACTGTGACCCCGACCACCACCCCCACCACCACCCCCACCACCACCACCACCACCACCACCCCCACCACCACCACCCCCACCACCACCCCCCACCACCCCTCCGACCACCACCACCACCCCCCCCACCACCACCCCCACCACCACCCCCACCACCACCACCACCACCACCCACCCCCACCACCACCCCCACAACCACTACACCGACCTCTACCACCACTGTGACCCCGACCACCACCCCCACCCCCACCCCCACCACCTCACCCACCACCACCTCAACTGAGACACCAACCCCGACCGCTACCACCACCTCACCCACCACCTCACCTACATCCTCACCAACCACCTCACTCACCACCTCACCAACCACTTCACCCACCACCACCACCACCACTGAGACACCAACCCCAACCCCTACCACCACTGTGACCCCCACCCCGACCCCCACCACCTCACCCACCACCCCCCCCACCACCTCACCCACCACCCCCACACCAGAGCCAACGACCACCGTGACGACCACCACTACGACATCCACAGCTACACCAACGCCCACCACGACGGCGCCACAACCCACTCCATGCCTGGAGGAGTGCAGCTGGACGGGCTGGAAAGACAGTGGGAAGCCGGACTTCAGCCCATCAGGTGGCGACTTTGAGCTCGTTGGCCAGGTCTGTCAGCACGGCTGGGCAGCCAACATCTCCTGCAGAGCCGCCCTGTTTCCAGACCGCCCCATCCAAGAGCTGGGGCAGACTGTGGTGTGCGATGTCTCCGTGGGGCTCGAGTGCAAAAACCAAGACCAGAAGCCAGGGGGCGCCAGCATAGTGCCCGTCTGCTACAACTATGAGATCAACGTCTACTGCTGTAGCTACTGCTCTTCCACCTCCACAGTGACCTCCACCACCACATCTACTACCACCTCACCCACCACCTCACCCACCACCCCACCCACCACCTCACCCACCACCTCACCCACCACCTCACCCACCACCTCACCGACCACCTCACCGACCACCTCACCCACCCCCTCACCCACCACTCACCCACACCTCACCCACCACCTCACCGACCACCTCACCCACACCTACCCACCACCTCACCCACCACCTCACCGACACCCTCACCCACCACCTCACCCACCACCTCACCCACACCTCACCCACCACCTCACAGACCACCTCACCCACCACCTCACCGACCACCTCACCCACCACCTCACCCACCACCTCACCCACCACCTCACCCACCACCTCACCCACCACCTCACCGACCACCTCACCCACCACCTCACCCACCACCTCACCCACCACCACCTCAACTGAGACACCCACCCCAACCCCTACCACCACCACCACTGAGACACCAACCCCAACCCCTACCACCACCACCACTGAGACACCCACCCCAACCCCTACCACCACCACCACTGAGACACCCACCCCAACCCCTACCACCACCACCACTGAGACCCCAACCCCAACCCCTACCACCACCACCACTGAGACACCAATCCCGACCTCTACCACCACTGTGACCCCGACCACCCCCACCACCACCTCACCCACCACCCCCACACCAGAGCCAACGACCACTGTGACGACCACCACTACGACATCCACAGCTACACCAACGCCCACCACGACGGCGCCACAACCCACTCCATGCCTGGAGGAGTGCAGCTGGACGGGCTGGAAAGACAGTGGGAAGCCGGACTTCAGCCCATCAGGTGGCGACTTTGAGCTCGTTGGCCAGGTCTGTCAGCACGGCTGGGCAGCCAACATCTCCTGCAGAGCCGCCCTGTTTCCAGACCGCCCCATCCAAGAGCTGGGGCAGACTGTGGTGTGCGATGTCTCCGTGGGGCTCGAGTGCAAAAACCAAGACCAGAAGCCAGGGGGCGCCAGCATAGTGCCCGTCTGCTACAACTATGAGATCAACGTCTACTGCTGTGGTTACTGCTCTTCCACCTCCACAGTGACCTCCACCACCACATCTACTACCACCTCACCCACCACCTCACCCACCACCTCACCCACCACCTCACCGACCACCTCACCCACCACCTCACCCACCACCTCACCCACCACCTCACCGACCACCTCACCCACCACCTCACCCACCACCTCACCCACCACCTCACCCACCACCTCACCGACCACCTCACCCACCACCTCACCGACCACCTCACCCACCACGTCACCCACCACCTCACCCACCACCTCACCCACCACCACCTCAACTGAGACACCCACCCCAACCCCTACCACCACCACCACTGAGACACCCACCCCAACCCCTACCACCACCACCACTGAGACACCCACCCCAACCCCTACCACCACCACCACTGAGACACCCACCCCAACCCCTACCACCACCACCACTGAGACACCCACCCCAACCCCTACCACCACTGTGACCCCAACCACCACCCCCACCTCATCCACCACCTCACCTACATCCTCACCAACCACCTCACTTACATCCTCACCAACCACCTCACCCACCACCTCACCAACCACCTTACCCACCAGCACCTCAACTGAGACACCAACCCCAACCCCTACCACCACCTCACCAACCACCTTACCCACCACCACCTCAACTGAGACACCAACCCCAACCCCTACCACCACCTCACCCACCACCTCACCCACCACCACCTCAACTGAGACACCAACCCCAACCCCTACCACCACCTCACCCACCACCTCACCTACCACCACCTCAACTGAGACACCACCCCCAACCCCTACCACCACCTCAACTGAGACACCAACCCCAACCCCTACCACCACCTCACCTACCACCACCACCACTGAGACACCAACCCCAACCCCTACCACCACCTCACCTACCACCACCTCAACTGAGACACCAACCCCAACCCCTACCACCACCACCACTGAGACACCAACCCCAACCCCTACCACCACTGTGACCCCCACCCCGACCCCCACCACCTCACCCACCACCTCAACTGAGACCCCAACCCCAACCCCTACCACCACCACCACTGAGACACCAACCCCGACCTCTACCACCACTGTGACCCCGACCACCACCCCCACCTCACCCACCACCTCACCCACCACCACCTCAACTGAGACACCCACCCCAACCCCTACCACCACCACCACTGAGACACCCACCCCAACCCCTACCACCACCTCACCCACCACCTCACCTACCACCACCTCAACTGAGACACCAACCCCAACCCCTACCACCACCTCAACTGAGACACCAACCCCAACCCCTACCACCACCACCTCATCCACCACCTCACCCACCACCACCTCAACTGAGACACCAACCCCAACCCCTACCACCACCACCTCACCCACCACCTCACCCACCATCACCTCAACTGAGACCCCAACCCCAACCCCTACCACCACCACCACTGAGACACCCACCCCAACCCCTACCACCACCACCACTGAGACACCCACCCCAACCCCTACCACCACCACAACTGAGACACCCACCCCAACCCCTACCCCCTCACCCACCACCTCACCCACCACCTCACCCACCACCTCACCCACCACCTTACCCACCACCACCTCAACTGAGACACCAACCCCAACCCCTACCACCACCTCACCAACCACCTTACCCACCAACCACCTCAACTGAGACAACCAACCCCCAACCCCTTACCACCCACCTCACCCACCACCTCACCTACCACCACCTCAACTGAGACACCAACCCCAACCCCTACCACCACCTCACCTACCACCACCTCAACTGAGACACCAACCCCAACCCCTACCACCACCACCTCACCCACCACCTCACCCACCACCACTTCAACTGAGACACCCAACCCCAACCCCCACCACCACTGACTCCGACCACCACCCCTACCTCACCCACCACCACCACACCTCACCACCACCACCTCACCCACCACCTCACCTACCACCACCTCAACTGAGACACCCACCCCAACCCCTACCACCACTGTGACCCCGACCACCACCCCCACGTCACCCACCACCTCACCCACCACCTCAACTGAGACACCCACCCCAACCCCTACCACCACTGTGACTCCGACCACCACCCCACCACCTCACCCACCACCTCTCCCACCACCTCATCTACCACCACCCTCACCCACCACCTCACCTACCATCACCTCAACTGAGACACCCACCCCAACCTCAACCACCACTGTGACCCCAACCACCACCCCCACCTCACCCACCACCTCACCACCACCTCACCCACCACCACCTCAACTGAGACACCCACCCCAACCCCTACCACCACTGTGACTCTGACCACCACCCCCACCACCTCACCCACCACCTCACCCACCACCACCTCAACTGAGATACCAACCCCAACCCCTACCACCACTGTGACTCCGACCACCACCCCCACCTCACCCACCACCTCACCCACCACCTCATCTACCACCACCTCACCCACCACCTCACCCACCACCTCAACTGAGACACCCACCCCAACCCCTACCACCACTGTGACCCCGACCACCACCCCTACGTCACCCACCACCTCACCCACCACCTCACCTACCACCTCAACTGAGACACCCACCCCAACCCCTACCACCACTGTGACTCCGACCACCACCCCCACCACCTCACCCACCACCTCTCCCACCACCTCATCTACCACCACCTCACCCACCACCTCACCTACCATCACCTCAACTGAGACACCCACCCCAACCTCAACCACCACTGTGACCCCAACCACCACCCCCATCTCACCCACCACCTCACCCACCACCTCACCCACCACCACCTCAACTGAGACACCCACCCCAACCCCTACCACCACTGTGACTCCGACCCCCACCCCCACCTCACCCACCACCTCACCCACCACCTCACCCACCATCAGCTCAACAGAGACACCAACCCCCACTCCTCATACCCCCACCTCCACTCCCGTGACTACGTCAACGACCACCATGGGAACCCCTACTTCGTCTGGACGCCCGTCGACCACCCCGACCACCAGTGTCTCTACTGGCGTGCCCAGCTCCTCGCCGACCACAAGGCCCAGCTCGTCCCAGATGTATTGCTGCATTCTGAATGACACCTACTATGAGCCAGGTACCCAAGCCTTCTCTTCTGACTCCCAGGCAGAGGCTGCGGGACGGAGTGGGGCGGGAGGGGCCAGGTCAGCGGCCTAGCCCGGGCGCTGCTGGGGAAGCCACACGCTGTAGGCGGCTGTCTCCTGCCGGCCCCTCCCTGCAGCGGCCACGGCGGGGTCCGGGGCCTCCGTGGGGACCGGCCTGTTGGACAGCATAGGGTCTGGGCTCTCCCTGCAGGCGAGATGGTGTACAACGGCACCCATGGGGATACCTGCTACTACGTGAACTGCTCCCACACCTGCACCTTTGAGATCTTCAATTGGCCCTGCCCGTCCACGCCATCCATGCCATCCACGTCGACCACACCGACCACGCCATCCACATCGACCATGCCGACCACGCCGACCACGCCGTCCACGTCGACCACGCCGACCACGCCCACCAACCCCCCCGGGTGCCCGGACTTCGATCCTCCCAGGAAGGTCAGCGGGCTGTGGGTGGCTGCCGTCCCCTCAGGTGGATGCGCTGACCAGGCCTGAGGCCCCAGCGCTGCCTTCCTGCCCCCAAGTCCCGGGCGGCCCCATGGAGCTCTCCCCGCCCGCCACCTCTCCTTGCGGGAACGAGATGCAGCTCCGTCTGCCCCCCGAGAGGGCCCCGAGCACGGCCCCTCCTCAGTGGGCAGCGGGGGCTGGCCAACCGCAGCTGACCGCGGCCGCCCCCGGCCGCCCCGGCTGACCCGCGCCCTCCTGCCGCAGGAGAACGAGACTTGGTGGCTGTGTAACTGCACCATGGCCGTCTGCAAGCACGACCACACGGTGGAGCTGGTGCAGGTGGAGTGCAAGCCGCCGCCCATGCCCACCTGCTCCAACAACCTCACGCCGGTGCGCGTCATGGACCCCGACGGCTGCTGCTGGCACTGGGAGTGTGACTGTAAGCCGCCCAGCCAGGGCCGCCGCCCGCCCCGCCGTCCCTGCCCCAGCGCCTCCCCGCCTCCCCGCCTCCCGCTGTGGGAGGCTGCAGGCCCAGGCCCGCCCAGGCTTCTCACACCCCCTTCCCTCCCGGGCAGGGGCGGGGCCTGCCCAGCTGACCTCCGCCACCTCCGCCGGTGGCTGCTTCTGCACCCCGCCCTCTGGCTCAAAGCCAGGCGGTCCGTGGGAGGAGTGGGGGCGGGAGGCCCTTTGGGGGCTGGAGGGGGGACCAGGCCCCCCGGCTTGGGTGCTCGGGAGCCCGGGAAGCAGTCTCCTCGCTCCTGGTCCCCGCCCGCCCCGCCCCGTCCCGCCAGGCTCTGCACCGGCTCACCCGGCCCCTCCGCAGGCTACTGCTCCGGCTGGGGTGACCCCCACTACGTCACCTTCGACGGGCTCTACTACAGCTACCAGGGCAACTGCACCTACGTGCTGGTGGAGGAGGTGCGGCCCACCGTGGACAACTTCGGCGTCTACATCGACAACTACCACTGCGACGTGCGCGACCGCGTGTCCTGCCCGCGCACGCTCATCGTGCGCCACGAGACCCAGGAGGTGCTCATCAAGACGGTGCACATGGCGCCCATGCGGGTCCAGGTACGCCCGCACCCCGGCCCGGCCCGCGGCAGCGCACGTGGCTCCCGTGGCAGAGGCCCGGAGCGGGGCGGAGGGGTGCCGGCGGCCAGCTGCCCAGCACCCTGACCCCGTGTCCGGCTGCAGGTGCAGGTCAACAAGCAGGCGGTGGCGCTGCCCTACCGCAAGTACGGGCTGCAGGTGTACGAGTCGGGCATCAACTTCGTGGTGGACATCCCCGAGCTGGGCGCCATCATCTCCTACAACGGCCTGGCCTTCTCCATCCGGCTGCCCTACCGCCTGTTCGGCAACAACACCAAGGGCCAGTGCGGTGAGTCCCCCGCTGGGCTCCGGGCTGCCAGCGGGGCGGGGGCGGGCAGGGTCTGGGCGGCTCTTCCGCTCCTCCTCTGCCCGGGCCCTGCGGCTCAGGGACTCGGGGCCCTGCAGGGGGGCGGGGGCGGCTGGCACCCCCTCGGGCCACAGCGCTGGCCCTGGGTCTGGCCGGGCGGACACGGGCGCGGTTGGTGAGGCCTGGGCCGGCGGGGCGCGGGCGGAGGGTTGAGCCGGCCTCCCGCCCCCCAGGCACCTGCACCAACAGCACCGCGGATGACTGCGTGCTGCCCAGCGGAGAGGTCGTCTCTGACTGCGAGCTGGCTGCCGACCAGTGGGTGGTGAACGACCCCTCCAAGCCGCACTGTCCGCACACCAGCTCCACCACCCGGCGCCCGGCCACCACGGCCCCCAGCGGCACCGGCCCCCACAAGAACTGCTCCTCGCCGCTCTGCGAGCTCATCAAGAGCAGGTGCGGCCGCCGGCGCGGGTCTCCCTGGCGGGCTCCGCTGTGCTCCATCAGCAAGGAGAGCAGGGGCAGGGCGCTGGGGGCGGGGCAGGCTCCGCTTCCACGGGGCCCAGCTGCCTGGTCAGACGCCCTCTGCCTCTCTGACCCCGAGGGCTGCCCGGCGGGCAGGGCTGACGGTGGAGGGAGAAGTGGCTTAGACAGGGCCTCTAGGGGGCGGCGGGGGCAGGGCTGGGCAGAGGGGTGAGAAGTGGGTTGTGACCTGTGTCCCTCCCCGCAGCCTGTTTGCCCAGTGCCACCCCCTGGCGCCCCCCCAGCATTACTATGAGGCCTGCGTGTTCGACACCTGCAACGTGCCCAACTCGGGCATGGAGTGCGCCAGCCTGCAGACCTACGCGGCCCTCTGTGCCCACGAGGGCGTCTGCGTCGACTGGCGGAACCACACCCACGGGGCCTGCTGTGAGTGCCGCCCACCCCCGGCCTGGGCTCCCGCAGGGCTCACTGGGTGCTGTGCCAGCCTGAAGCAGGCTGGAGGGCGGCCGGGCACGCGTGGAGAGCGGGCTGGGCTGTTGTGGGGGAGGGAGGGCTGGCTGGAGGCTGGGAGGGCGAGGCTGCCTCTGACCACTGGGCACCTGCCGCTCAGCTGGTGTCGGCGTGGGGTGCTGAGCCGGGCAGGACGGTCACTTTGGGGGGCGGGCTCCTCCGTGTGCCTGGCCCCTGACGGCTGCCTCCCTCCCGCAGCCGTGACGTGCCCGCCTCACCGGGAGTACCGGGCCTGCGGTCCCGCCGAGGAGCCCACCTGCAAGTCCAGGTCAGTCTCCGCGGCGGCTCCCCCGCCGGGCGCGGGCGGCACTGCCAGGCTGCGCTCAGCCGCCCGCACTCGGCTCACCATGCCTTCCCTCCTCCAGCGCCGCGAGCCAGCCGGCCCCCAGCGCCTCCCGCCACCCCGAGCCCAGCGTCCCAGAGAACAACACGATGCTGGTGGAGGGCTGTTACTGCCCCGAGGGCACCATGAACTACGCACCCGGTTTCGACGTCTGCGTGGAAGTGTGTGGTACGTCCCCCGCCCCCGGCCTCCCTCCGGCTGCCACAAGGCCGAGCCGGCCCTGTGGCCCAGACCCAGCTAACGGTCCCGTCTCCTCTCTCCTAGGCTGTGTGGGGCCTGACAACGTGCCCAGAGAGGTAGGCCTGCCCTCGGTGCTGGGCTCATCCTCCCTCAGGGGCCCTGAGGTTTGGGGTGGGGTGGGTTGGACAGGAGAACCCGGGAGTTCAAAGGCTCAGTAACCAGTCTGTTAAGTCCTGCAAAGCTTGGCTAGCAGGGCCGTCCACCGTCCACTCAGCTGTGCCCACAACCCCTCCTCCCACCCCTCTGTCTGTTTTCTGGTTCTCCATCCTTCCATCCCTAAATCCTCTGTCCCTCTGTACATCCATCCTTTAGCTCATTCACCTCTCTGTCCATCCATCTATTCACCCATCATGCTTCCAACAATCCACCATCCACCCATCCATACACCCATCTCCACCATCCAACCATTTATCCATCCACCTACCCATCCACCTGTCCAACCACCCATCCATCCATCCACCCATCTGCCATCCATCCAATCACCCATCCAATCATTTATCCATCCATCCATTTATCAATCCATCCATCCATCCGTCCACCACCCACCACCGTCCGTCAGTCCACACATCCCTCCATCCGTCCAACCACCCTCCACACCACACGCCTGTCTAACCCTGAGCTGCAGTCCCAGCCGCCGCCTGGCTGCCTGCCTCCTGCACACGGGTGTCCTCGGCTCTCCCTCACGCACCCGGAGCCACGTGTGGTTCGTCTGCCACAGGCGTGCCGCGTAGGGAAATGCTGGTGAGCAGGCCACGGCTGTGTTGTTCGTGGCCTGGCCCTCAGTGACGGCCGCGGTCCTGGACCAGAAGGCCCGTGCCCAGCACGGCGCCCCTCCCCGCTGACCCTGGAGCTGGCCCGGGGCACAGCTCTCACCCCACGCTCCCCCTCCCGCAGTTTGGGGAGCACTTTGAGTTCGACTGCAAGGACTGCGTGTGCCTGGAGGGCGGCAGCGGCATCGTCTGCCAGCCCAAGCAGTGCCTCCAGGAGCCGCCCGCCCGCTGCACGGAGGACGGCACCTTCCTGGTCACCGAGGTCAACCCCGCCGACCCCTGCTGCAACGTCACCTTCTGCAGTAAGGCCAGGGCCCGCCCTGCCCTGGGCTCCAGGGGTCACCGAGCAGGCCCCGCCCTGCCCTGGGCTCCAGGGGTCACCGAGCAGGCCCCGCCCTGCCCTGGGCTCCAGGGGTCACCGAGCAGGCCCGCCCCCGTGCCTGGTCCACCTCCACTGTGAGCCGGGAGCCTCTGACTGGCGCTGGAGGCTGGGGGGGGGGGGCGCGGAGGTGGGCCGGGCGGGTGCTGCTGGGGGAGGAGCTCAGGACTGGCCCCACGGGGAGGTCACGCACGGGGGGGGGTCACAGGGAGGTCACGTTGTCCTCGCTCCGCCCCCGCCCCCGCCCCCAGAGTGCAACGCCAGCCTGTGCAAGGAGCAGCCACCGCAGTGCCCGCTGGGCTTCGACCTGAAGAGTGAGATGAAGCCCGGGCGGTGCTGCCCCCTCTACTCCTGCGGTAAGGCCTCGGCGGGTGAGGGCTCCCTCTGGCCCGCCCGCCCCGGGCTGCCACCTGACCTCCGCCCTGTTCTCTCCCCCCAGTGCCCAAGGGCGTCTGTGTTGTTGGGAACGCCGAGTACCAGGTGCGCCAGGGGCTGCTGGTGTGTGTGTGTGTGTGTGTGTGTGTGTGTGTGTGTGTGTGTGTGAGGGCGGGGACGGGGCCGGAGGGGGCATTCCAGCCAGGCTCGGGGCTCGCCCGCCTCACACCCCTCCCTGTGCCCAGCCCGGCTCCCCAGTGTACTCCTCCAAGTGCGAGACCTGCGTCTGCACCAACGCCACGGACAGCGCCACGCAGCTCAACAAGGTGTCCTGCAACCACGTGCCCTGCCCCAGCACCTGCAACCCTGTGAGTGCCCGCGGGGAGCTGGGGGGGGAGGGGGCTGCCCCCCGCCGCTCCCCGCCGCCTGACCCGCCGTCTCCTAGGGCTTCGGGCTGGTGACCGTCCCGGGCGAGTGCTGCAAGAAGTGCGAGCAGACGGACTGCATCATCAACCAGCCGGGCGGCCAGAACCTCATCCTGAAGGTGCGGCCGGCGGGCGCCCATCCTGGGCCGGGCGGGGGCGGGGCGCAGAGGGGAGGCCCGGGCGCCCGGCCGTCCGCCTCTCCTCACACACCGCCTCCGCCCGCAGCCCGGGGACATGAGGAGCGACCCTGCCAACAACTGCACCTTCTTCAGCTGCGTGAAGATCCACAACCAGCTCATCTCCTCCGTGTCCAACATCACCTGCCCCGACTTCGACCCCAGCGCCTGCGTCCCGGTGAGCGGCTCCGGGGGCTGTGTGCCCGCTGCTGGGGGTCCCCCTGGTCCTGGGTCCCCGGGTCCTGGGTCCCCCTGGTCCTGGGTCCCCCTGGTCCTGGGTCTCCCTGGTCCTGGGTCCCCGGGTCCTGGGTCCCCATGGTCCTGGGTCCCCATGGTCCTGGGTCCCCCTGGTCCTGGATCTCCCTGGTCCTGGGTCCCCCTGGTCCTGGGTCCCCATGGTCCTGGGTCCCCATGGTCCTGGGTCCCCCTGGTCCTGGGTCCCCCTGGTCCTGGGTCCCCATGGTCCTGGGTCCCCCTGGTCCTGGGTTCCCCTGGTCCTGGGTCCCCGGGTCCTGGGTCCCCATGGTCCTGGGTCCCCGGGTCCTGGGTCTCCGGGTCCTGGGTCCCCATGGTCCTGGGTCCCCCTGGTCCTGGGTCTCCCTGGTCCTGGGTCCCCGGGTCCTGGGTCCCCATGGTCCTGGGTGCCCATGGTCCTGGGTGCCCATGGTCCTGGGTCCCCGGGTCCTGGGTCCCCATGGTCCTGGGTCCCCGCATCCTGGGTGCCCATGGTCCTGGGTCCCCCTGGTCCTGGGTCCGCATGGTCCTGGGTGCCCATGGTCCTGGGTTCCCATGGTCCTGGGTCCCCGCATCCTGGGTGCCCATGGTCCTGGGTCCCCCTGGTCCTGGGTCCCCATGGTCCTGGGTCCCCCTGGTCCTGGGTCCGCATGGTCCTGGGTGCCCATGGTCCTGGGTGCCCATGGTCCTGGGTGCCCATGGTCCTGGGTCCGCATGGTCCTGGGTGCCCATGGTCCTGGGTCCCCCTGGTCCTGGGTCCGCATGGTCCTGGGTGCCCATGGTCCTGGGTGCCCATGGTCCTGGGTTCCCATGGTCCTGGGTGCCCATGGTCCTGGGTGCCCGGGTCCTGGAGGGCCGCGCCCGTGCTGGGATCCTGCCTCCGGCCTGGGCCCTTCTGTGGCAGCTGCGCCTCTGACCCTGGTGCCCGGGGCCTCCCGAGGGGGGTCTGGGTTGCAAGCTCACTCTCCCTCTCTGCAGGGCTCCATCACACTCATGCCCAACGGCTGCTGCAAGAAATGTGAGTGCCCGAACGCTAACCCCTAATCACTAGCCCTAACCCCTACCCTAACCCTGAATCCTAAATCCTAACCCTACCCTACCCCTTCTCCCTACCCCCTAGCCCTACCCCCTAACCCTAACACCTAACCCTAGTCCTAACCCCTAATCACTAGCCCTACTCCCTAACCTTAACCCTGAATCTTAACCCCTAACCCTACCCTAACCCTTAACTCTAATCCCTAACCCTAACCTCTAGCCCTACCACCAAACCCTAACCCTAACCCCTTACCCCTAACCCCTTACCCCTAACCCCTACCCCCTAACCCTAACCCTATCCCTAACCCCTACCCCCAAACCCTACCCCCTAACCCTAACCCTACCCCCTACCCCCTACCCCCTACCCCCAAACCCTAACCCGCTGCGGCCAGACCGGCAGCCCTGGGCCTGAGGGGGGCACGGAGAGACGGGCCCGGATGATGCATTTGAGGGCTTCCCCTGGGCGGCCCGCTGCTGGGCTCTGGGCGGGGCCTCCCGGGGGGGTGGAGGGCCCCCCCAAGCCTGCGCCTCGCTGTCCCCAGGCATCCCTCGCAATGAGACCAAGGTCCCCTGCTCCACCGTCTCTGAGTCCAAGGAGATCTCAGAAGGCGGCTGCACCAAGCGCGTCCTCATGAACTACTGCTCGGGCTCCTGCGGGACCTTCGCCATGTGAGTCCGGGCTGGTGTGTGTGTGTGTGTGTGTGTGTGTGTGTGTGTGTGGTGTGGTGGTGTGTGTGGTGTGTGGTGTGTGTGGTGTGTGTGGTGTGGGTGTGTGTGGTGTGTGTGGTGTGTGTGTGGTGTGTGTGGTGTGTGTGTGGTGTGTGGTGTGGTGTGTGGTGTGTGGTGTGTGGTGTGTGTGTGGTGTGTGTGTGGGTGTGTGTGGTGTGTGTGTGGTGTGTGTGGTGTGTGGTGTGTGTTGGTGTGTGTGTGGGTGTGTGGGTGTGGTGTGTGTGTGTGTGGTGTGGTGTGTGGTGTGTGTGGTGTGGTGTGTGGTGTGTGTGGTGTGTGTGTGTGGTGGTGTGTGTGTGTGTGGTGTGTGTGTGTGTGTGTGTGGTGTGTGTGTGGTGTGTTGTGTGTGGTGTGTGTGTGTGTGTGGTGTGTGGTGGTGTGTGTGTGGTGTGTGTGTGTGGTGTGGTGTGTGTGGTGTGTGGTGTGTGTGGTGTGTGTGGTGTGTTGTGTGGTGTGTGGTGGTGTGTGTGTGTGGTGTGTGTGTGTGTGTGTGGTGTGTGTGGTGTGTGTGTGTGTGTGTGTGTGTGGTGTGTGGTGTGTGGTGTGTGTGGTGTGGGTGTGTGGTGGTGTGTGTGTGTGTGTGGTGTGTGTGTGGTGTGTGTGTGGTGTGTGGTGTGTGGTGTGTGTGGTGGTGTGGTGTGTGTGGTGTGTGGTGTGTGTGTGGTGTGTGTGTGGTGTGTGTGGTGTGTGGTGGTGTGGTGTGGTGTGGTGTGGTGTGTGTGGTGTGTGTGGTGTGGTGTGTGGTGTGGTGGTGTGGTGTGGTGTGTGTGTGTGTGGTGTGGTGTGTGTGTGTGGTGTGTGTGGTGTGTGTGTGTGTGTGTGGTGTGTGTGGTGTGTGGTGTGTGGTTTGGTGTGTGTGTGTGGTGTGTGGTGTGGTGTGGTGTGTGTGGTGTGTGTGTGGTGTGTGTGTGTGGTGTGTGGTGTGTGGTGTGTGGTGTGTGTGTGTGGTGTGTGTGTGTGTGTGTGTGGTGTGTGGTGTGTGGTGTGGTGTGGTTGGTGTGTGTTGTGTGGTGTGGTGTGGTGTGGGTGTGTGGTGTGTGTGTGTGTGTGTGGTGTGTGTGTGTGTGTGGTGTGGTGTGTGGTGGTGGTGTGTGTGGTGGTGTGGTGTGTGTGGTGTGTGTGTGGTGTGGTGTGTGTGGTGTGTGTGGGTGTGTGTGTGTGGTGGTGTGTGTGGTGTGGTGGTGTGGTGTGTTGGGTGTGGTGTGTGGGTGTGTGGTGTGTGTGTGTGGTGTGTGGTGTGTGTGGTGTGTGGTGTGTGGTGTGTGTGGTGTGGTGTGTGTGGTGGTGTGTGGTGTGTGGTGTGTGTGGTGTGTGTGGTTGTGTGGTGTGTGTGGTGTGGTGTGTGTGCGTGTGTGGTGGTGTGGTGTGTGGTGTGTGTGTGTGGTGTGTGTGTGTGTGGTGTGTGGTGTGTGTGGTGTGTGTG